CTTGAGTGGGATAGTGTAAAAGCGGAAAAATAAAACAAAGCGTGCCAGAGGTGTGATGGATGACTTATTAGAAATTGTCTCGGCTGTAAAAGTTTTGTTGTACAACAATAACAAGCTGTTTATTAGACGTATCGTGATAAGATTTGAACATGTTCATATATAACAAGTGCTATTCGAAAAGGCTAATTTAATGGTCCACTAGTCGTGTTAATTAGTTTGAACATTTTGTTCGTGTTTTATAACAATGTGGTTACGTCACAGTGATCGAGATGTGTCATATAATTTTAATCTCATGAACGTATGACCCAGCAATCGTGTGAAAATCGGCGAGCACGCACAGAGCACGCACGCTCGTGAAAGCCTCGAGGTGTTACGTAAGTGTTTAACACCATTGTGGACACATTAATGACTCGTCAAATTGCCAAAAATTACTTCCCAATACGTTCTTTAGAGATATTTTGAATCTGTTTTATGGATGTTAAAACAATTTACGTGAAAGTGCTATTTTATTGAGGGATAGTATAATTTTGAAGCAACATATTCGATTAATATACCATAACAAGCGTTCATACCTCAATAAGTGTAATTCACCAGTTTACAGACCAGCACTTTTTTGTTTTACTAGAACCAGAAGGTAATGCAATGGAAAAAGAACTTTAGATAGAGATGGACAGAGTCGTAATTGCAGTGTCAGTTAATAACTGCAAGACAGGTGAGCAAAATAGAAAGTTGTTCACTTCCTGGTCACCAGTTCGCCTCGTCTTGCACGAATGTACCCGTAGGTCTCATACAAGGACATATCAACTAATCGATTGTTATAATATATGGATAAAAATGAGTGAATAATATACATACGTCGAATGTCTAACTAGTCTGTTCGTGTAAGAATGAATAATCAATGGAAAACCGTTACATTGCAACACTTGTTCAAACTTATGTACAGATTTGAATGACAATGTTATTGCAAATCGTTTCCTTTTAGAACAATAATGAGTGTAAAGCGTTTTATTCATACATTCTTTTTCCTTAGAGACATTGAGTAATATTTTAGATTTTTTTCTCTATTACAATAGTTATTACCGATGAAAGAGTTAGGTTCTGAGATACAAACTTTCACTGGAGACGCTAAAAAGTGAAACGGAATGTATTGTAATAGATATTTCGTTAGGAAAATAATAAAAATTTATGTTATAGCAAAAAATATTGATTACTGTTGGAGTTTTTAAACTGTTTGAATCGAAAGGTGAAACAGTTGTCGCGGCTAAAACAGGTAATATCTTGAAGGTCACACTTGTAATAATAAGAACTGCCACGAAATAAATATTCAATAATAAAATGAAGTAAATCTTTATTGTATATAAAATATTTACTTCGTCAATAATTGAGCAATCTAAATAGCATGCCAAGAGATTAGATCGTGAGGAATGCTCGTTTGTATTTCTCACACACGATCAACATTTAGGATAGTCTCAAAGAATTCATACCAATTATTGTTTCTGTTACAAGAAAAATAAATAAAGAAATTCGTTGTCTTACTAACCAGACAAGCGGAGGTCGCATATTGTTAATGTCAAAATATAAATTCATTATTGGTATATATTTTTTAATAATGCTATAGCTTCATTCACATTGGAATTGTGAAATATCTAGCCGATGTCCATTATATTTTGTATTGTATTAAAACCTTTTAATGTCAGTCTCAGTTTTTATAAGTCCAGATGCATTTTAATTAAAATATCACTTTTTTTTTTTTTTTTTTTGTTATCCTTGAGAAAATGCATTTACGCATTGATTTTGAAAACAGCGGGGTATGTGGGACTCGTTGCCACTACCCACTAAAAACCCAAGGGTGACGGCCCTTGTGTCGGGGGATCGCTTTCGCACTCCCACCAGCTTCCCCGACAGGCTGGCCCGCATTCTGGGGGTCCTTTTCTTTTGGGGGGCACTGGTACCGCCCCCCCCTCATGTGGTGCTCTTTTTGACCTCGGGAATGGGGAACACAACCTCGAATTAAAATATCACTATTGATATGAAAATAACCTTGAATTATTCTGTAAATTATTAATTCTATATACGGTCATGTTTTGAAAGAAATCGAGTTTTTTTTGGAATTTTATGCCTTTTGTAATAATTTTATATATTATTTCCGACTGTGACCCATATCAAAAGCTTTGAGATTGAAATGAAAGTAAATGTTCATATATTTATTTATTTTTATTGAACAAGAGTAACGATTAACTGATATTTAATATCTTTCTTTTGTAAAAAGTCAAAAATTTTAATGGCAAGTCCTAGAAGTAATAAAGACGATGATTATAAAGAGCTCAGGGCGAGGCAAGTGTTTCTGGGGAATTCCTACATTGTAATTTTGTATCTTTTTTAATTTAATATTTCTTCTTTCGAATGGCTATTAAAAGTATTTTAGCCCGGATGTGGGGAGCGTGCAAGGACGGCACCCTTAGTTCCCACATTTTAAAGTCAACAGAAGGATCGCTTTAAATGTGTGACGTCACGATTTTAAATATTTTTTATATATATTACTAGTTCTTACGTCTTCAAAGAAAATGTCGTGTGTTGAAATTTAACATAAAATTTACTTATATGCTACCTACATAGTGATTCACGTACAAACTTTAAACCTGTTGCAATTGCATATGTAAGAGATAAAGTTAATCGTATGCTCGACCTACAGCATCATTAATATCATCAATATTTCCTAAGAGTTGCTTTATAAATACCATTGACAAAGCTCTATAGAGTTTCTTACGTCATACCTAGCTGCGGAGAATTCAACTAACATTATGTACATTTTTTATAAATACTTGTATCTATATGCTTAAGAAAATTGTACAGAATGGAAATTGCAATTTGTACGGCTATATTAAGCAAATAAGAATAAAATGTGTAACCTATATCAGAATTCAATGTCATATAAGTCATTATATCAATTTGAGTACTATCAAAAAATAACCAAATAAATAGAAATAAATATATATATTTAATTAAAATTCGTCCACGTTTAGTTGTAGTTAACTTTAACAGTGTTTCCATTTCGCCTTTAAATATCAAATTGTGACCTATGAGAGACTGCCACTTGTCTTTAGTGTTAAGTTCATTTAGCACGTTTGGTGAAATATTGAATTTGTCGTAATTTGTATAAATATTGAGAAATATTACCATTTATATATATATATGTATATATATATATATGTGTGTATTAAACCGATATGCTATCATACAGTCATTAAAGAGTGTTCAAAAATAATAATTCGCATGATTTTAAATAATTTTATAAAATCAATAAGAAAGAAGAAGAATGTCATAAGAATTAGATTCTTATGAAATTCTTCTTCTTTCTTTAGTGTTTAAATCCACAAACAGGACATATGAGTTTTATATACAGGACTTGCATGCATGATGCAACCCCAAGATGATTAATATTGCAGACCTATTACATTATTACATGTTGTGATTACAGAAATCGAAAGTCATATACGAACCATCAGAAAGGTCAGATCGCAAACAAATCTTTATAATAATATTAGAAACGCGATGTATAATCAGAGTTATTTCATTAATTTCCGTTGCTTGTATACAAAAATGAATCTGTTACACAATTTAAAATCACTTCCATTAATTTACGGACACTATCATTCTTAGAATCGTTATTTCACACAAAACTGAAATTATCGTAACGACTTGACATAATACGTCACAGCAAAAAAATCACTTGTAGACGTAAAACGTAAGTTTCACTTTCGGCACGCATCACTCCGACGCTGAGGTCGTTGGTATCTTAACCGTTACTTTATTAATCGATTTTGAACCTTATGCCTCTAAAATATGATATATTATTTAAAATACAGAACATCGTGATTTCTGTATGACTAAACTATCTTCAGACATCACAAGCTCCGTTGGAGATGAGATATGCTGTTAGTGTTATATAAGTAAAATTCGGAATACATCAGACAGTTGATATTGGATAAATTTTCTAGCTGCTGTATACTAAATATATATAGAAAATATTATTATAAGATTGTGTTGCTTTAATTAAGGTAAACGTGTTAGAGCTGAGACATTCTCCGTCAGGTGTTAGGTAATGAATTGCGACACCCCACAGTGGCCACTGGCCAATGTAATAGGGTCGTCGTTGTATAATTTGTTTTGGTTTTCAACTGGTCGGAGGCCGCGTCAACAAAATACAAACAGTCTCATATACAAAACACATCTATTTGTTTTAAAAATTAATAATTTTGAAGAAACATATTTGTTATAGCGACTATCAATCTCATGTGCTGAATAAAACTATACTACTAACTGACATATGTATGTATGTGCATACTTATAATAAAATTGTAAATGTTTAATATTATGAATAATTTAATTTAAATCAATTTCCTTCATTTAAGTTTTAAATTTTACAATGTTTGGAAATCGAAGCAAGCATTTTATTAAAAAAAATTGAAATGTTCATTATTATTCCATTTTATTTTTTAATTTGTGGGACTATTTCATAGTGTAAAATGTATTTAATTATACTTGGAAAAAAAATTGGTAATGCTCAAATTGTAATTTATTAATATGTTACTAATAGTTAAATTTCATTGTTCTTAATAAAGACTAAAAAATATTTAATCCAATCAGAATGTAAAATGATATTTGAATGTTTTTGAATATATCAATTTCATTTTAAAGAAATGTTTCCATATTTTTTTTATTAAAAAAAAGGATTAGGATTGAAAGCGGTCAATGTTCGCCAAAAAATATTTCTGATAATAATTTACGTGTCACGATATGATAAAGTCATTTAAATCCGAGCACTTGACCTCACGTGAAACTTAGGCTAATCTTTTGCAACGAAATGATTTTACTGAGTATCTGTTCAGAAAAATCCAGTTTTCTTTTAATACCTTATAATAGCTATATTGAGTATTCACTCAGAATACTTAGAGGATACGTTTTGGTTAGAAGAAATCACGGAAATGTTTTCACGATACTTGACATTGTATGGTAAGTAAGGTCATAGTGAATTCGCCATCGATTTGCAGTGCTGTAATACACCATTGTTGTTCACCGGTCACGATCTCGATCAATGGGTCAGAGTTGACCCCCTTGTCTCATTGACAACAGATCACGAAATTACGGTTCTCACTAAATTATCTTTTATTCAGAAATAGGTCTTATCTATTTCAGAGTGTTTACGAGTGATAAAAAAAATTACTGAATAATTCGAACACAACATTAGTAAGGAGTAATTAGTAGATATTTTAATGGAGAGAAATAATGATGCGTGCGTGATATTTATTCTTAATTCTAGAGGCTATATCGCAGCGAGATGACGAGACTCATAGCATCAAATTCGTTTGAACATTAACAACCTGTATTATGTAATTATGATGTTAAACGATTTGGTAATGAAGGTTCAACGGAACTGTACGGCATAATCGCTGTGTATTTAGGATGGGCATTGTAAATTTGTTACAGTGTCGTTGTCACGATGATTTGAGACGTGTGACATTATCTGAGGTGTCAGCTAAATTGGTGGAAGAATTTGACATGAGTTCAAATCCATACAATAGTACGAAAATTTCGAATGTCAGTTTTGCAAGTTATGAAAGCGTGAAACTAACGAGTTGCATGCAGCTGTTAGTCATTTCATATTACGTTGTTAAGTCAAACCTAACGAGATGGATGTCGTAAATATAAGTTAAATGAACGTTCCAATCAATGGTGATGTCGAAGCTAATTGTAACATGAGCGCTCAGGCAGCATTGTGAGACATCGCATTCTCACGTCCTTAATAACCCTCGGAAACCGTTACAAAAACTCAGGCATAGACAAAGGAAATGAAAACATATTATGTACGCGGAACAACTATGGGACAGCAAGCAGTGTTTATTAAATTAAGCAAGCGATACGCAATTTGTAAGCATTACTTGCACAAGATACATTTCGAAACGGTCATTCGCACAACCAAAGCGCATTCCGACGACAAAACGCTTCGATAAAAAATTAACGCCATTACAATCTACTTGAAATAAAATACACTTCTTGAGATATTTCTTCGATAAAACTTTCTATGTTCTTTCCTAACATAAAAGCTGCTATTAAAGATCAAATGGTTTCTGTGGCCCTGTCATTTGTTAACCTACTGTTATAACAGTATTTATGTGAACTCATCCGAAACACGAGTTACATGGACTCGTTCACCACGTGATTGATGTATAGAAAGTAAAAAACAGATTAGTGTTATCGAATAGACATTATAATTTCATTGTTTTGTCGTTTCGTGATAATACTAATTTGATATCGACTTGAACGTAGGCTATTGATATCCATTAATTGTAACTTAGTAAAAAGTGACATTAACATACCTTAGTAATTTATGCTGCATATTACAAATTAATTTTTTTATATATATAAAATATGTAACTTGTTTTTGTTGTACATAAATATGTTGTAGAAGCAGTGATGCATGTAACTAAATTTCATTTGAAATTAATATTTATACAAATAGTTAAATTTTAATGCTTAGAAAGGAGTATATGTCAAAAAAAATATTATTGATGATTTAGGTATTGTAGCACATATTAGTTGCTTTGTACATTACAGAGAGTTTTAATTATGTATTGTATATGACTGACCTTATACAGTTTATCTTTCTGATACCAGACATCCTCTTCTTCCTCCATTTGTGTGGCGAAAGCCTGAGTGAGATCATCGCGGGAACGCGACAGGATTCGACGCCGTGACACCATCTCTCCGCCAGTCGTCGCTTCGAACGGTCCTAGACTGTAACAAAAAATATTATCATCACTAATTGAAGATTATAATATAACTCTTTAGGCATATATTTTAGCAAAGATCTCATAACATTTATATTAACGTCAATATTATGATAATTACGAACCAAAGTAACACAATTGTCAAACTTTCTAAGATGGATTAGTTTAATACGCATCTACATCGTCATGAGAAACAATAGTTGTGTGAAAGCATGTTTTATTGTATTTGTAACGTTTATACTTCTGATCTCATCATTACATCTCCATTCATACGGAATGTTATTAATGGTGGGACATTTGTCAAAATCCTGTATATTTATAAGCAATACTAACATCTACTGAGTAAGAAACTAAACCGAATTATTATATATTTTTAAGTGTAGGCAGGTATCAAGCGTGTTTGTCGATAAATATTTGAATAGAATAACAGTGATAAAAATGAAGTTTTATCATTTTTTAATGAGAAAAAAGACGTTTATAGAAATAATTCCTATAACAAAACGACAACGAATTTGTTCGTCCCATCACTAGAATCTTTAAATCAGGGCTAACAAAGCATTATACACGCTTCCTTCCGACTCAAACAATATGTGGCATTGGATTCGGCATTGGCATTATCTAATAATCAGTTCCTCCCATTCACGGCGTTGTTTGTATCTGAGGTAATGTAACAATGGTTAGTGTTGTCGGAGAAAGTATCGATAGTGATGTCTTGTAACCACTTATATATGAAGCACTAAGTGATATTTGTCATATTTATTATTACATTTTCATAATCTTTCGTTTTTTTTCGCATAAGAAAAAAGAATGTAATTTCGTCTCTATAAATAATCCGTTGTAAAAGATTATATCAGTAAAAAAATTACATATATCAAATGATTATTAATTTATATTTTTTATTGGATTTTTTTTATGTTCAATATGTCAAAGTCTCTGTAGGAATACTTTCTCAAGTGATTTAGTGGTCTATTAAGTATCATTCGCAACCTGTTACAACGAGCGATCGAGATAGCTTTGTTTTTCAAACCTGTCTGATTTGCTACACCCGATATTGTCTATTCCAATCCAAGGAAAACCTATACTAAAGTCAGGAGCTTAGAGATGGTGTTATAGAAAATACGTACTGCAATTTCTAAACAAGATTACGTTTTGTTGCTGCTGCATTTGTACACTTGACCAGTTTTTCTAGCAATTTAATACAAGGTCTATAATAAAAATTAAAGATTAAAACAATTCTAAGCTAAACGTGAATATTTTATAAGATTTAAATATATGTATAAGATCTCACCGTGTCCAAAATTTAACAGATTAACTCGTAGCACACTGAACGATAAACACCAAGTTAATTTTATATAAAATCCGAATCCTGTTAAAGTTTTTATGGGAATTATACGACAGGAATGATGGTTCATAACACAGAACCTGTTCCCAATGCACTGACCTATATTACGGACGGGGTTTAACCGGTTTAATGACAGTACAGATATCGTAGTTAGCAAGCATATTGATTAATTATAATTGCATAATTACTTAATAAATAAAAACGATATAATTAACTATATTATTACATAGTTAATTATTTAAACCATGACTCCCATATCATAAATTATTATTACTAAATGAACAATTTGACATTTAGCTAATAATTCATATTATGTACATTAAGCTGTCATCTTGTTATGTACAGACAATAGTTTAATGATTGTATATATAAATAAAGTTCAAACAATTAAATAGCATGTAATCTGTTAAACGTTACATTGATAGTTAATCGTTGTAAACATAAAACGCTTTCGCTATCAGCTATAAAACCCGTTAAATCATCACTAGAACCTAGCGGAACAGGTCTTTCTTGCTGTTATTTTCTTTTTATGCAATTACTACGGTAAAGGATGCTTCATCCCACGTGGGGATGCTATCTAGATATTATGAACTTGTTACTATAGTAGTAGTTAGCGTGTAATTGATAAATTAATATCTTGTTTGATGTCATTATGTAACTTCTTTACTAGATATTTAAATTTGTTTTATTTATAACTTGTGTTACTATAAAATATGTATCGACAAAATTAATTTGATCTACAAATTGTTTATGTTATGAATAGGAGTTTAGTAACCTTTTATTATGGGATCCCGTGTCTGTCGGTAATTTCTTTATAATATCCCAAACAAACCATCTTCATGCTAGCGTTTTTCAATAGCAACAAAAAATAATTACCGTTACAAGTGTTTGGTGCGTTGCAACACTGTACAAAATTAACTAAAAAAAGCCAGAGCACATTCTTCACAAACTACTTTCCAAGTCAAATGACAACGTGCTGGAGTTCCTTAACACATTCTATTGTGCTCAGTGTTTTCGTCTTGCGTACAATTTTGACTTTTATTTGTCATAAATTACGGCATATATGAGCAAAACGTTGGTATTTTGACGCCACATTCATGATTAGACGCGTTCTATTTCTCAAAAACGATATATTGTCAAAAATATTTTCGCAATTCACGTATTTAAGAGCCTCAGTTTTTATGTTTGGCAATGAAGTCATTGAATTAGGTTCACGGTCATACTACAGCTTGCTGACAAATGTTAATTTCAAATATATAAGCCTTGACGTTTGAAACATTTAGTTTTTTATTGATTAGCTTCAAACTTTTATTAATTTTAAGGTGGGATATTAGCGGTATAATAAAAATTATGTACATCCCAAGGTTACTCATAAAAATAAATATTAATTTAAACTCTTGATATAATGGAATGGATTTCGACAAAAATACTTGTACAATGACAGAATAAAAATATCATATGTGAACAAAATACGGTATAAATTTCGCATAGTTTTTTTTTTTCCTCTCGAAAAACCCACAGTGTAAGTACCAGAATTTAATATCACTATGTGGAATGGCCGGAAAGAATGACATAAATAATTATAGACATAGATAAAAAATACATAAAGCAGTATATAATAGTAATATGAAACTAAACAGACTTTTATAACTTGTTTACTATATTTTGATAATAGCTTGCCCTTTAAGATCAAGGCTTAGGGCAATAGAGATGCTATGCCTATACACTGAGCGAGTACATATAGACAAACAAATACAGGGAAAACATCAGAAGTTCTAAAATATAAATACGACTTGTATAGGCAAAACCAGTCAACAGCAAAAAAACTCGGATTAACTTGGATTAACCGGACGAAATAGTTAAACTGTAGGTGTAATGCCGCTTCGTCTACTTCCATACGTGAAACCGATAAGGCGTCGGCTTCAAAATGTCATCTGATCACACTCACGATACCCACTGGCCATCTCCGAGAAATACATCATCACAAACATTAGGAACTGTTCTTCGAGATCAGAGCTGATGACAGATATACTTTTTTACGCTCCATGTCTTTACTTAAACAAATGAGTGTTGTTATTTTTTTGGCGAGAAAAAAAATAGTAATTCCGATTCCGGAGTGCATCTTCCATCTAAAGTTCCAAGGTCAATTGGGCTGGACTGGTTCTGTAACGGGACGGAATCGCAAGGATCTAGCCGGGTCATCAGACACTGGACATGGTTTAAATGTTAATTGCCATACGGTTCGCAATGGAAGGAAAAACATGTTTTATACCAGAGACGGATAACGTTAGGTATTTTAGATCTAAAAAAAAAAAAATACGTGTATTGAATTCATATATGTAATTTATATTAGAATTGCGCAAATGTTTATGCATAAAAAGGTATAACTGTTATATGTATTATACGTGTGAAAAAGTCAAAGTCGGATTAAACATAAAAATAATAAATTAATTTATCTAGATAGCTATTATTCAAATATACTTATGATATACTTATATCTATTATCCATATATACTTTAGTATCTTTTATTCAAAATTACGACTATATCAAAATTTTGTAACACACATTCGTTATATTAAAGTTGATTATTCAAAAACAATCAACCGTTCAGAAAAAATATGATGAACGTTAAATATTTATAAGTTTGAACCGAGACTTCTCTTGTCATAATTGTAAATATAAATTTAAAGTTGATTAATTATATGAACTTATGTCAAAATGAACCGCTATAGAGCTCCTTATCGCCCGTCGCCATCAAGCTACGTTCAAGATTCGCATTCGCTACTGATTTCGGATTCCCAACACATTGCTTGATGTTTAAAACACCGCTAGTAACTTTAATATAACTAACTTCATGGCTTATTTCATCCGATTTAAAACCTCAGTAATTTGATTTTGAATCAACAAGAAACAATCATTCGCTTTGAGAAATATAACCATTTTCAAAAAGATGTTTTAAGTCTATTACATTTTAAATAACCCCTTATGACGTATGATTCTGTCCAAGTTAGTAATTTTATTAGTTTTTCAAGACAAGGAGTCTTGTCACTCCATATCAAAAATATGTACATGATACTATTATGTCAACAAAGCTAATCGAGTACAAACATGTTAAAAAACGATGTCTATACTGAAATTTATATGTCCAAAAAAAAAAAAAAAAGAGAAACGAAGATAAATTGAACACCTTATTCTTGAAGTTCTTTTTAAAGATAACAACATATTTTTTCTTTTCTGTAGGTTCTAAGTAATCAGTTTAGATGGACGGTAAAATTATAACGACAAACTCAAAGTTTACAGAGGGCATTTTTTTTATAAGTGACATTTGACATTTAACCAAGGTCAAAACACTAACACCAAACCTACAGTTCGGAAATTCGTTTGAGATGAGATTTACTTGGCAGAATTTAAAAATATCTTTTATATGAATATTTTAAAGTATTAAAGTTTTATAATAGCTGTTATTTGTTAGACGGTATTATTTTTCCTTTAATATAATAAAATTGTTTTTTCGAATACGAAACCGTTTTTGAAGTTAATATTGAAGTTTTATTTAATATTTTTAATTTTTCCATTAGAAAATCATGTCATATCCGAATTATTAGGTGACTCTCATTCAATAACATTTATTTATTTATAAAATTATTTATTAATTCAACCATACAAACATCACAATTAGTGATAGTAGAAATTTTAATATTTAAATTGAAAGTATTTTTGATTATAAAACGTCTCACCGATTATTATTCTTCATAGAATGGCTTCATAAATATGATGATAATTAAGAAAGTATGTATCTGTATCGATTACAATATAAAAGATAAAATTATACAAAACTATACTTAAATTTTCATACTAGTTCGTTGACCTTACTTTCGCTATCACCAAAGTCACTTAATATCTAAATCTCAAAAATGTCATTTGAAATTTTGTAAACCCCTAAGTTATTACTAATTATATAACGAAGTGCAATACGCAAGGGAAGTTAATACTATATTCTTAAACATTTCTATCCGTCTGTAGGATATAAAATCTACACACCATACATTTTTATGTAATCTCCGTGCTCTTATATGTAGTTATGTCTCAATTAAAATGTAGGCTACAATTTAACGCAAAAAAAAACGTCGAAAACTTGGTAAGTGACTAGGTTATAATAAAATTATTATTGAATATAACATTTTCGTACCTTTTTGCACAAAATAATATTTAATACTTAAGTTTTGGATATATAGTTAAAAATATACATAATATTTTGAATTAACAAGAAAAAAGTAAAAAGATATAGGTACAATTGTATTTCCTTAAAGATCCATGTATACATTTTGTTTGCTGTTTTGATAAAAATATCTATTTTACTAATACTTGGAGCACCCAAAAAGGTATTAGCCGTAGTTAGTGTATTTTTTGCTTTTATGGTCGTGTGAGAACAAAGTGCGCAAGGTGAGGTTATAGGATTTTTATATTATAATTTTCTGAAATAATATGAGGTAAACATGTTTTTCTTAAAAAATATTCAGTGTACAAATATACATGACTTTGACTATAAATCATAAATCTATATGCCTCTTAGAAAAACACATCTTTTTTGGTCTAAACCTTTCCATATTAGTAACAAGGGATAAAACGTAGAAGAAATCTAAATAGGTAGTAATATTATTTCATTTTTTCTTTCTTCTCATTTAAGAATAATGATTGCATACACAATCGCGGAAATTTCCTATTTAACAGTATCACAAAGACTTTCACTTTAACTATGTATCACAGTCTCAAACTAAATATTGCGTAACACAAACGCAGTCATTACGAATTGTTCAATCATCAATGGCTTAGTTTTTTGGGAGGCAAATAAAATTTCGCTTTTTTTTCCTAATAATAACTTCTTTTTATTCTACATTCAAAAGTTAGCTGGCTGAGCGCGCATCTTAGCATTTAGCTGGCTTTTTGTACGATAATTTTATTCAAGTACGAATATTTTAAGTGTATGTGGTACATAACTAGTTTAGCAGATTTTAGTAGGGACATTCATAACTATAACATTGAGACTACGATATAATAGTATTAAAGCTTTATTGACGTTAAAATATTTGAGAAAATTTCCATTAACGATTACATTGTGTATAAAATTTAAACTAATTTATTAAATACTGTCATTCAGAGATAACTAATAAGTTAGCTTTCCTATAATAATTACTCTGTGCTTATAACAACAAAGTAATGTTTGTTTTCAAAGCGTATCAAGGATGCTGTAGTCATGTTTATAAAGTAATTACCTTATATAGATCAATTATAGAGATAAATAGTTCACAAGTAGAGGAACCATCACGCGAATAATATTAAAATATATATGGTAACAATAATTATAAAGCAACACGTGAACAACAACTAACAAAGTGTTGAAAGTGTCTCTCTATCTAAAATACCCTTGTCACTGGTAGATTAAAATACGATTACCTTTTTTAATAGTAAAAATAAACGAATGCAGGCATGTGATGGATTATTTTGAGCATTATCTATAGAATAATTCCTCGTCAGGTGACTTGCGTATGCTATCTTTGAATGACATCTCTTTTATAATTCAATGTATCTTCATAACGATGTAGACTAACAAAAATGCAACCATTATTGTTGTATACGAAGGGTTTCTGCTATTTTAAAACCTCTGAATGACGTATCGGTCCGAAGATTGACTCTATAGAACATTCCTTTACACGCAGATTGACACTATCTATGCCATTGTACCATTAAATTATTTCTTTTATATCATTTATTGTAGCCAGATATACTTTTACCTAAATAGACAATTACGTGATGTCTTATATAAAATTCATGAGGCGTGAACAGAAACGGAAAAACGCCTAAACTTTCACGTACATACCTCGGCGTAGATATTGACGAAGACCTTGATAGGTTCGTCTTCTTCAGCCTGAAGAGTCTATGATTTCGCAAATCCATCCTTCAAACACTATACGTCCACACACTACAACCCACTCTCAACTAATGAAATAATTAGAACAGCACATCGCAATCTTATTAACATAAAAATTTCAAGTTCTTGTTATATTACTTGCATTGTTACATTTGGTAATCCCTTTCATACGTATGTGAATCGACGTACGAGCGAACGAGAGGAGATTATCATTGTCAAAATCTACTGATGTAATTGTGAATGCTCCCAAACCTAGTGTTTAATTTAATTTGTTAATATAAAATTACTATTATATCACATTTTAGTGAAATTGAATGAGCTATTAATGCTTTTATATCATTAAAGTATTCTTTATATTAACAAGTGTAATTATTTAAACATCCAAATTTTACGAAAATAAAAAAATATATATTTTTTGCGCCATTACTTTTACGAAACTTTTATTTACAAGTATTATTTTTATTACAGTTAAACGTAGAGAATATGTACTGTACAATAATAACCATTCTTTATAAATATTACGAGAATTATTGAAAGAAATATATGTTTTTTTATATAAAAATAACTTAAAAAGCATAATGTTTTATTTAAATGTATACAAGAGTTTTTATTATGGACCTATATATAGCTTCACAACTATTGTCTGGTGCCGAAAGCCTGTCGAAATTGTATCTGATTGGCAAGATGATAGCGAGCGGCACTTTTGAAGAAGAATTATGAATAAAAATCTACTTTTGCATTATATATATTATGTGTATTGTTGAATAACATTACTATCCTATCTCAAAACAGATTCGTATTTTTTTATCATTATAAAACACTTTATATAGAAGTACTATTCTTATCTCAACGACCTAAGTACTATTTAAGATAGGGATTTAGTCTATTTCAATTTTTTTCATAAGCCTTTTTTTAATAACTCGTAGTTTTTGATCCTTACCGTTAAACGTATTTTTAATACACTCTTACTTTACCATGATTGAAATTAAAACAACAAAGTTCTTTTTTGACAGACGTTTGTAAACTAAGGAAGAAGTTATTTAAAAGAAATCAATAATATCAATAGATTTTCATGATTTATATTTAAAATATGTTTAGTTAATAAAAATAGGTTATTTATTAAAATAAAACATATTTAAATAATTTAAAAGTCATTATTAATTATAAAATTTATCTATAATCTCCATTCAATATTCTACATATAAATTTCGTTTCAACTCTGTACTGTGTGAGTGTTGAATAATTAAAAGATTTGATCATTATCACCTGTGTAATTTTTTTATCATTGGAATATCAATATCGATTTAAAATCGTTAAAACAATAATACCGTTGGTACTTCACCGTTATCAAACGACATCCGCATACTAACTAAACTTACATCGCACTGCCAAAATAACTGTTCTGGATTTTTGCTTACATTGTTTCAGAAAAATATATATTAAATTGATAAAATTATCTTAATGATTACAGAAATTTATTTCTATAGATAATTTCGAACTTGCTATCCCAAAAAATATTTGATTATAAATGTTTTTAAAGTTGTTTTAAATAATTAATTGAAACAAAATGGATTAATATAATTTCATTGTATTCATTGTTGTTAATGAAGCCCATATATTAGATGAAAAAATGTAGCAACAAAAAGTCTAGTTTCTTTATTAGCGATGTTGACTAATAGATGACGGTTATCACAGTTATTTACATCGGGAACTGTATGGTATGAGAGGTATGACACGTAAACCGTATTCTATGAATGAAAATAATCCTTATACCAATAAAAATAAAAGCTATTTAAAAACGCTTAATCTTGCTGAGACTTTCTAGCTCTTATGCTGTTTGTAATAAGGATGATATTTTAGATACGAAGTTAATCACATCCTCAAGCTACAATAGCCTGTTGCATTAGTAGCCTGGGAAAAATTGTGTAATTATTATAGGGCTTTATTAGTTTAATTGTTGTAGGTATAGTACAGTGATGTAAGCTCTGTCATGCTTATTGTAGGCAATATAAGCAACGTACGCCAATATAAACAATACTTTGATATTTTTTTATCACTATTGATCGATCATTGCTGGTAAATCGTGCTTTAAATGGTAAGCAATTTTATTTGTAATATTTACTTTCAAAGAAATTTTTTTTCATACATTTTTTAATATAACTAAGAACGCCTTTTAGAATGTTTCTATTTGTAGAATTAGTCGTGTTTTATATATGGATTGCAGCCCAAATAACTTTGATTCATAAACAACCAATAGTCCACAATTCAATGTATTTTCTTTGGCGTTTACACGACGTTGGTACGAATTCAAAACTAATCTGAAGGAAATGTGAATTTCTAAGTAAGTAAGTAAAAACATAATTAAGAACATGTTTACATGTCAACATACTGTGAATAATCAAGTGATTTCTATCAAGATGGAAGCAATCAGGAGACGAGGTTATTTATGTCCAACTGACTAAGAACCAAATGAGTCTTAATACAGGGTTAATTTTTCTGATTGGAAACCAAGTGGGCGGTGATAACATCGGATTATAGATTGTCGGTGTAGCTATTATTTATTTGTTTTGTATTAATTGGAAATACATTTTATAGAATATTTGAATTAATTTTAAAACATTTAGTTATTTTAAAACTTGTATCTACTTCATTCTGTATAGGAAATTTTTGTTTAATATTGTCATATATATCTTAATGCTATCGAATATAACACATATTCAAGTTTTAGTTATGTCATGTATTTCTTTCTTAATTACGCTAAAATGTATCAAGTAATTTTTTAATTATAATTAAATTAATTAAATTTGCACCTACTTACTGCTCAGTAAGTTTAAAGGTAGTTTATGTGTTAGGAAAACTTTAGATTGGCTGAAAATCGAAGAAAACCAATAAAAAAGAAATTTTTTAGATTTGAAAAAAATAAATAAATCGAATAAGCATATAGTTTTGATATTATATATATCTATTTATATATAAACTGAAAGGGAGATGAAACGAAAAGGAAAATCGAAAGCGTATTCCGCATTGTTCGTACACGATCGCCGGCTCCTTTATTACGTCAATCGGTATAGATGTTAAAAAAACGAAGCCTTTTAAACGTCCGTGAATTTAACATTCACTTCCACCGATAGTATTCAGATAAAAATAGTATTACGAGAGAGACACGCGCCAGCGACCTTGCACACAACCTTCAACTGAATCAACTATTTTCACTAATACCCCATAATTTTTATCTATATGTATTATATGTAATTTATTTAAGTAAATGATTGATTTTTCTGACCTCTATTTTAAATTTAACGAATGTATAATTTCTATTATATTCTGATTAACGTTTTTTATTTAACAACATATTTAATCTACGATAATTATTTTAACTTAATTTAGATTTAACTATAGCTTTAACTAATGTTTCACAACATTATCGAATACTGATGTCGATATTATATTATATTAATTCATCATTTTATTTAATTACGCTTCCTTGTTAATACAGACAATCTGTAGCCAATTGATTTTAAGCTTTAATACGTCTATTTACAGTTTATATTTCATAACCTTTTAATGGTTTGTACGTATGACCTAATAAATAACTATAGCTGGGTTGTGTTATCAAATTAAATGTTTAATGCATCAATTTTCTTATCTATTTTCGTCATTTAAATCTATACCATATATCCAAAAGAAATCGTAACCACTTTATAATTATTACCGTTTTATTTTAAAAATCTTAGTACAAAAGTGACAACGAAACTATCCTTTAGAAGTTTCTGGATTGTAACATAATTATAAAATCAAATTTTCACCTGCTTACCATGCTGTGTGAGTTTGCTTGTAGAAGGCGACACTTACATATACGAATGCTTAATGTTGAACTCACTGTAAGTGACCATGATTAAAAAATTGATTAAATAATATGAAGGCAATCGAATAATTGTAATAGCTTTATAGTAAGTACAGTGAATATTTCAGTGTTTACGAAGGGATTTCTTAAATCCAGGAACAAATCTTCTTTAAGTTTTACATAAAATTTATACACAGAATAGTGAAATTTTCTTGAAGGTATCAAGACAATAAGCCAACTTATTGTTGCCCTTTGACTTCGGAAAGGAGAGCTGTTGTATAAACAACTAGGGTACCGAAATTTTTACACACAACAAATTGATAGAAAAATTTTGTAGTCACTTAAATAATTCATACGTTCGACTCAAAAAAAATGTGATTTGTTAATAAATATTTTTTATGTATCTACTTGTTCACTGATCACGCTTTACAAAAGGAATTTTATGACGAAACATACCCGAAACAAAGATGCATCATTAATAAAAAATACTGAGCATAACCAATCGATAAGTTAAATAGATTCATAGTAAAACAGTCTATAAATCATTATGCAACTATGCACTATTATAAGATTTGTATGCATACAAATCGATTACTTTCACCGTAACGTCATGCTTCAACTTGTTATAAAACAGTCCCCAACTAAACGCTGTTGAACGCATTTACAATAACTTTTTATTTTATTTATTCTTCTTCTTCTACCTGGCAATTTCCCGGCTATAGCCAGGGTCTGCCTTACTTGTTGTCAACAGTTTTGGCTAATTGTTTTTTACGACCGGCCGCCTGCCTGACATCAACCCTCTTTTGGGAATCAGCATTAATCAGTGATGTCTAAATATTCATAGAAAGTACATATGACTCGGAAAAATCACATTGGTACTTACCCGGGCCAGGATCGAACCCGCAATCTCGGCAACGAGAGGCGGGCCCTCTAACCATTAGGCCACCACTGACTTTTATTTTATTTATTGTTAACTAAAACTATCATACTTCTCGTATCTATTAAGTAGTGCTTTATAAATAATCAAAGGCTTATTAAATTGTTTAACTATAACTTCAAACTGATAACAGCTAATTAAAACACAGCAAGTCATTGTTGATGAATGGATTTAATTAAACATGTTGTTTGTGTTAAATTGACAAAAAGTTAAATGAAAAGTAATAGACTTTCAATAATAATACT